AAAAAACTTCGCATTCTTTGAATAACATTGTTAGAAATTTGCTTGCTTTTCACCAAATTAGCATAATTTGCAGACCAGCTAGAGTGCATAAAAAAGAAAATTCCCAGGACGGAATGAGAAAATGTAATTAATTTACAGCTCCAATGCTGGATAATTCCAGCGCAGGCAATTCTGTGAGAAAACAAATCAAATCATCAAACAATGCTACATAAAGAAAATACTTCGTTCTGCAATATTAATAAATAGAGATGGAATCAGTGGTGTTGCCAAATTTTTCGGGATGAAAAGCTGTTAAATTTTTTCAGTATTTTCTGAAGTACTTTCTTGTTTGGCGTTCCAGTAACATAACTAACATGGGATACCCACAGTGATAGCCCGAGCAATCCTAGTATTCTCGGTCTTAGTTTTCAAATTTTTTTTAGCGAAGAACTGAAAATTCGCACGGTTTCTCTGATTTACCTTTCATTTTGCTAAACCACTGTGGAAGTTAGAATTAGCAATAAAATTCGTCGTCGAGATTAGACAGAAGTCATCGTCAGAAAGAACAAAAAGAGCGATAAAAGAAGTGGATTGGTTATATAGCGGAATTATCAAGACAAATAACTTTCAGAGCCGTAGCGTTTCAAATTAGCTGCTCCAGACATGCAAGTGCTTCCCAGTTACATCAGCAATATCGAAGTTTCATTTTGTCGCATTTTCTCCTGGATCTTTCTTTTAGCTATTTTTGGACAAGTCATTTTGTTCTCTGATGCGCAGTTATTATAATTACTGATATCAATCGCACAATGAAGTGAACAACATTTAGTTTGTCATCGACTACCAACCACCGAAACGTCTTGGCCAAAATCGTCGTCGACCCCATGGGCCTCCACCTAGAAAGCCACGTCTTCTTGCAAAGCTTCCTCCTTGGTACCAACTAAAGAATGGGCCAATCGAGAATCCACTAAAACTCTGGCCAAATCCACCACTGCTAAATTGTCGTTTAACGCGTATCCTGCAAAATTTCCAATTGTCTGAAAAGTGTGCACTAAAAAAAATTTAGAATAACTTAATGGTTTCTGAATTTTTAACGAGGTGTTACATCCTAGTTATTGTACACCTTATTAATATTTTCGGAAAGCTAAATGTCCATGTACTTGTCTTTGGTCAGCTGCAATTCAGAGTGTAGTTCTCCTGTTATGCAGCTGCAGCTTTTCAACTTGCTCCGACACTAGTCCGCTGGTTTGCCTGATGGCCTAGCTTAACTGAGACTCTGACGTTTGTTTCTTCCCGGAATGCGACAGACGAAGATCAGACAAATTAGGAGGACTGCGTTGCAAATAATTTCAAGTACAGATTTATCTATACCTCGAAAATGGTTATGCCTCAGCCATAATTAATATTAGTAAGCACTGCAGTGATTACTAGTACCGCTCGATTCCGCTTGTTTTGATGTCGAACGTCATTTAAATTGCTCATCCTGTCTGGTTTTGTGGTGGGAAGCGTGCGGTTTCGATCGTAAGAACATGTTGAACGATCTGCCTCGTCGCTTCTTCAGAACTGCATATCTCCGGTGAAATTGAACGTTCGCATGGAATTGCATGGATGAGAAGGGTCCAACACAGAAGAAAATCGAGAAGCTGTGGAAGAATCTTTACGACTAATCATCGGTTGACTTAAGTATTTCCGTTACCTGCTAGAAAGATCCAACAACGAATTCAGTGTTCGAGCCTTTGAGTGTATTATCATATCAGCGAATAGCATCAACCAAATAATTTTGAACATGCTGTCCACCTGGAAAAATTCTCACTAATTTTCAAAAACGGAGCGAACTCCACATTATTTGTCCAAGTGGCCTTTGTAATCCTGGTAATTTCAAAAAGTAGTAAATCATTAATTTGAATGCACCACAGATAAAGCTGCATAACCAACCAACAGATAAAGAAAATGACGCCTTAATTTCCATTCGAATCTCTATTTTCGAAGTTTCGAAAAACACTGGAACTAGTTTTTACACCTCTTTTACTAATTATTCATTTAAAATGACATTATCAAAGCAGTGAAAAGTGGTCCAGTAAGTGAAAATTTCACTAATCATAATTATCGTTAAGCTCAGGTTTTCCTACAAAAATTATATGACTCGCGAAAATTCTTGTGTCTTACATGATTTTTAGTTTGTTATGCGTTTTTTGCAGCAATGCAATGCGAAAAACGCATAGTGACGAGAGGTTGTCTGTGTGTGTG